AGACAAATTAGCTGCAAACGAAATAGAAGGGAAAAAGCCAGGATGAATAGAGGGACTGAACTTGCGTCTCATTGGATTATTTTCAATGCTAACTCACTATTAATGCATTTTTATCAGTCGTGGTGCTTATCTTTAATTTATTTATTAATATTGTTTTGGTTGTTTGAGTTCAACCTATCATCAATACGGGTAATTTCATTGCACACATTTAATGATTTCCTTATTTTTATTTTTTGGGCATATGTTAAGTTGGACAAAGGACAAGACAAATTTAAATGCTGAATATCATACAAGTTTCCCTTGCAACTGCAAGTCTTCCCTGTGCAAGCCGCAAGCTTGTCTCAGTCGAAATTAATTGGCACAAGTTGCTATAAATGTTGTTTTAATGAGGAATTAATGTAGTTCTGCAATAATTTTGGTACTCTCTTATTTTCTGAACACAATATCTTATCTATGAGAAGATTTAAGAGGAAAACAATCTCCTTTTAGATATATTATGGTTCCATATCTTCATCTACAATTAGTTAATTACACATCACAAAAGTTGAATAAGAAACTATATACTCAGTTGTTCAGGTTTTGATTTGTATGATACTTACTGCAGCCTTCATTTTGTAGTGCCCACCCAAAAAAACAAAATATAATAAAAATATATTTCGAATCTTATCCCTTTGATGGATGAAGTACAGGCCCGCATTCATATATTCTTTTTTAAACTTACATTCAACTGCCTAAAACAAGAAAAGGGCCATACCGGCCCAAATCATACCGTTTCTAACGGAAGCAGCCTCTTTTCAGTATAGATTGGATAAGCATAGCTTGGAAAGCCCAATATGTACTAATTATCCAGCTAGCTAGCAGGCCCACCAATTTGAAACATGCCTTGGGCTAAATACATTCCCAGAACATTGTTGGCTCATTCTCTCCCTTGAATGAAAATGGTTTTAGATGTCAAAATCTTCGGGTTTGAAAGAAGATGGTTTTAGATGTCAAAATTCTCTCCCCTGAGCATGAACTCGAGCATAGGGGTGTTCACGGTCCGGTTTTAACCGAAAAAAACCGTCAATCCGGACCGCGGATCGGTTAAATGGTCAGTTAAAAAAGCCTTAAAAAATCCGGTGGTTAATTTTTTTAAAAATCCGGAATAACCGGTCCGGTTAACGGATTACCTGCGGCAAACCGTCGGTTTAACCGGACCGGACCGGTAAATATTAAAAAACTATAACAAATATATATATGTATTCAGTCATTCACTATTGGCGACAAATACAATACATTCACTATGAATGCTTTGCTCTTATTATTTCAGGTGTATAAACTGACTCAAAAATGAATGTTTGCTTGAGTTCAGTTTGCATAATTAATCTTCATCATTTTTGTATTTTTATGTTTATGGGAAGAAATGTGCATTTTTATGCTTATGAGACGAATTGTGTACTTTTTATTTCATTATTGTTGTTTTTCTTAATTTTTATGCCCAAATAATCTCTTTAGGACCCAAAATTGAAAAACAAAAATTAAACCCAAAATGAAAAAAATAAAAATTGAAGGCCCAAAACAAGTTTTGGATTTAACCGGTTAACCGCCAAACCGGACCGTCCAATGCGGTCCGGATTGTGGTCGGTTAAAAAATAAAACCGGTCCGGGTATGGACAAGAAAAAAAATTAACAGTTAGGTCCGGTTTGGTCATGGTTTGGGCTAAAACCGGACCAATCCGGACCGTGAACACCCCTACTCGAGCATGTGTGGCAATTAAATTGATGATCTTCCATCCATATAGATAAAATAGAAGTTCAAACTCATAAAAAGTATCAAGTAATTTATTTCTATCTTCATATTATCCATTTATTTTGTATATATAAAAAAAACCCTAACAGACTTAAAAATCATTAACCACCACCGATATTCATTAATCTGTTTCAATCTAATTATATATTTCAATTAAAAATAAAAGAAATAAATAAGAGAATAAAATGACTCATCAAATTTAAAACGACTTTTACATGTAGAAGGACTTCAAGAATTATTGTGTCCCTTTTATACCATATCATCACAAATAGAAATAGAATCACTTTTGAAAAAGGTTTATATCCAATTACTTCTACAATCCAAAAATTCACATGTCGTTGTAGAGGTTATTAGCATACGAAAACAATGGACTTGTCACTCAACATCTTGTAAAGAATACAAAAGAATTGAAGAAAGTGATGGGAATATATAAATGTGCATGCAATACACGATAACGAGCGCATAATGTGTGCTCGTGGTCCATATGTCCATCATCGAACGTCATCCGACAATGCATCGACCATTATAATTTATCTCGTTAGGCTTAACTTGATATTTTAGAAGGAAAATAGTTTAAATTTAATTATATTTTATATGGTGGGTTACACACGGATAAAATGGAATTTTTAGACTATTAAACTTGTACGTATAAAATTTTATAGCTTTTAATCGTACCTACAACTATTTAAGATTGCATGGGTCGAATTTCTATTTAAATATTCCAACGAAAATTTAATTTCAGTGAAATAATTTTGTCTAGCTCTGTTGGAAATTTTTATAACGTAGGACCATTTATCTGACTTTTCAACGAATTTTGTTTGGTTGGAATTCTTTATTGGGATTTCTATTGATGTATGAATAATTTCTCACTAATACAATACACGTATACTAAGGTACTTGTTAGAAAAAATTATTTTCAAAATTAAATAATAATAAAAAAAAATTATTTTAATTTTTAAATACTTTTTTGAAAAAAATATATTATTATTTATATTTAATTTATACGAGATAACTACGAGATAAATAACTAAATAACTTTATTTTTTTTTATCATATTTTTGAAAAAAATGTATTATCATATTTTTTTTTTAATTTATACGAGATAAATTCTTTGTAGGTAAGTTAATCTAAATAACTTTATTTTATCAAATTAATATTAATAAGTAATTAATTTTAATTATAAAGATAAATAGAAGTATATATTTATTTTGTAGGTATAATATAGATATCAAATCGAAATTCATCAAGACATGATTAATTTGATATATTATATATAAAAAATAATAATTAATAAGAATTTTTTTATTTTTAAATTTATTTATAATGTAAGTTAATAAATTTGTTATAATTTTGAAATAAATATGTGGAAAAAAGAAACATTGGGAAAAAGTTATACCTTATCAACCTCGTCTATAATAGGAAATGATATTAAAACATAATTAATCTTTGTTTTGTTAATCATTGCAGAGAAGTATTTGGATATTTTAAATGCAATGAATTTTGTGTCAACTACAAAATCTTTGTTTTGTACTCTTGTTGAAGAAGGCTTCGATACACTTCTTATGTATGTGCAGTCATTTTGTGAAGAAAATGGTATTGAGATACTGGATATGAGTGTTTGTAACCGATCTTCTAGAGAGCGTTCGTGCCAACATAAGTTTTCTACTACAGTTGAACATCATCATCACTATGATGTATTCGATGCTACCACTGATTTCAATTGGAAGAGCTTAATAACATAATTAATTATGGGGTTGTAGAACTTCTTTGACTTAGCTCATTGTTAGAGCGTCGAGACAAATTTAAGTTGTTCAATGACGATAATATTTATACTCTTGTTAAGAAATTATATGCCAACAATTTTATTGCGCAAGAGACTTCTCTATTAAGTATTAACATTCAGTTCTAGGTTCTTCTGGATTTCCTTTGTTCCTCATCTTTTTTTGTTCGATTCGATCCCTTGTAATGTTAGGGTTCTTCTCTATTCTGGGGTGAAGGCTTTTTAAGGTGTGTGACAGCAGTGGGTAGGGCTTTTGTGTTGTTCTGGCCTCCATTTTGTCTATGTGATTGTATGTTAACTTGGTGATTTTTACTTGGTTATGTCTCTTCATTTCAGTTTTTTCCCCCTCTCCTTCCCGTCGCCTTTCAACTTTTCTGTTTGGCCCGTGTGTTTGGGAATTTCTTTCTTGATCTGTGCTTTATCTCCCATCTTGTTCTATTTGTTCTATTTTGGTTGTGTGCTCTGGTGGGTTGGGGTTAGATTTTCAGGCCAAGGTGTTTGACAATGGCGAGTGAGTTGTTGGAGCAATTGCAAAGGTTTGTCCTCTTAGAAAAGGAGGAACAAGAAGTGGAACTTTTGGAAGATGATATAGCTCTGAGGCTAAAAGATTGCTAGAAAAGCCTAATAGGAAAGATTTATGGTGAGAAGAAATTCAACTTTACTGGATTAGAAACAACCTTGAGTTGAATTTAGGGGATATCAACCATTCACGACTAGAAATCTTGGAATGAATAAATACCAATTCCTATTCAAGACGGAGGCAGATAAAGAGAAGATCCTCAGAGCCAATACTTGGTTATTTGATGGTCAATATCTCTAGCTAAAATATTGGAGTCCTGAAAATACAGTGTTCTCCGAACAAGAGGAGAAGATCAGACTTTCGGTGCAGATTCAGAATCTCCCTCTACATTGGATCACGGTGGAAGCTGGGAATATAGGGCATAGTGACAGAAATTACTCTATTAAATAAGAGGACATATATAAACATGCTTAATCTTGGGCAATTTGGTGATTGGCTGAGGATTTATTTGAGTCAAACTTTTGCTCCTAAGGGTCTTTAGGACCTAATTCTGGGAGTCAGTCTGTTGAAAAGAATACCAATGTTGATAGAGATCAACCTGTAGGAACTGAAGGGTCTAAAGAAGCTGTAAATCCTCCACAGTTTGATAATCCCAGTGAGACAGAAGCTAAGGTAGGAAATTGCCAAACCAGTGATAACATCATGGAGTCTAATTTGGTTAGATTTTCTAAGTCTCAGGGTAGTAAAGGGCTTGAATTAGATAATTTAAAAAGCCTTTGGAGAGTGTTCCTACTGAAATTGAAAACCATTTGATACCTCAAGATTGGTTGAGGTAGATGTTCAACCTTCCACTATTGGAGTAGAATAGCTCTTAGGAATCAGAAAATTCTCAATAGAAAACCTAGACAATGAGGAGAAAGTTCTAGTTAGAATATGTTTGTAGAAGCAGAATGGTATAAGTTTGTGGTCATAGAATCAGGACTGGGCAGAATAAGAGGTCATTAGAGGTCAACCTAACTTCTTAATCTGCCTTAGATTCTAGCAAGAAGGAGGCAAAAAAAACTGAAATTGTCTGATATTTCCTTAAATCCAGAGGTGGAGGCAACTAGCCCTACTTGGTCCCATAATGTAAACTGAGAGTATGTGTGTGGCATTGTATAGGTTTGGGGGGACCCTCTATAATTTCGCAGTTTAGAGAGTCTCTTAGAACTCACCTCCCAGATTTGACCTTTCAATTTGTCCAAACTGTCTGCAATAAGTTGAAGTTAAGTGATAGGTGGTTTTGCTCTGAACCTATTGATAGAAAAGGAGGTATGCTGCTTTGCTGGTCTAACAACATTACCATCCTTGACCTCATTTGTCTAGACTTTCGTATTCAAGCGAAGTTCAGGTATAAGAGTGAGGACTGGTCTCAGTGGGCAATCCCAATGTGATACCCTCATAAGATATAGCCTTAGCTGGGGTGATTTGTGGTTCCTTGGGAGGGACTTCAATGATATTTTGTCGAACCAGGACAAAAAGGGTGGTATGATAGAGAAGAGTCGAGTTTCTTGGGCTTTAGAAATCTGATAAGAACTCTGAATCTAGTGGAGTCCAAGACTGTAGGTCACCCTTTCACTTGGTGCAATAATAAAAAAGGTAAGGAGTGTGTTGAGGTCAAGTTAGACAGGATCTTTTTTCTTTTGACTGATTTTCTTTTCTCCTCTGACCACTGCATGTTAATTTTGGAGGTTGATTGTACTATGAATGTCTACCCTTCTAGGTTTTACTTTGATTCCATGTTGATTAAAAAGGATTGGTTCAGAGAGGTTATTGAGAATGGGTGGAACCTTAGACTGGAAGGCCTTGCTCTTTGGAGTATTCAAGGTAGAATACAAATTGTTTAGAAGGCCTTCTTAGGTGGAAGATGAAATCTAAGTCTAACTCTGCTAAGACTATTGAGGTGTTGAAGACAAGAATTAATGCTCTTAATAAGGAGGGTGGTGTTAAAAATTGGAAGGATTGGACAGATTGTAGAAGAAAACTCCATGAAGCATATAGGGAGGAAGAGTTGTATTGGAAGCAGAAGTCTAGGGTGCAGTGGCTTATATAAGGGGACAAAAATACTAGATATTTCCAGGCCACTGTGAACTTTATAAGGAAACTTAACTCCCTAAACATCCTCAAACTTGATGTTAACAGATGCACTAATGAAGTTGCAATTCTGGTTGAGTTGACGTACTTTAAGATTCTCTTCAAAACTTCCAACCTATTTGTGGAGAAGTGTAACCTTGAAGGAATACCTATACCTACTAGTTTTGAGATGAATAGAAAGTTGACTAGAGAAGTAAGTGAAACAGAAATGAAAAAGGCCTTGATGAGTACGGATCCCACCAAAGCACCTGGTCAGGATGGAATGACAACCTCCCTTTTCTAGTCTTCCTGGCCTATTGTGAGAAAACATATTACTGAGGTTGTGTCAAACTTTTTTCAAAAGGGAAGAATGCCCAAAAATTTAAACCACAAAAAAAAAAAAAAAAAAAAAAATACAATCCAGTGAATGTTTTTGACTTCAGACCAATTAGCCTTTGCAATGTGATCTATAAACATATAACTAAAATCAATGCTAATAAGCTTCATTATGTGCTCAGTGTTTGCATTTCTCTTGCTTAATCTGCTTTTGTTCCTGGTAGACAAATCATTGGCAATGTGGTTATTGCTAATGAATGGATACATTATTTGAAGAGGAAAAGAAGAAACAAGGAAAACTTTATGGCTCTGAAATTAAACGTGGCAGAAGCATATGATAGAGTAGAGTGGGATATCATTGCTCAGATTTGCTAAAAAAATGGGTTTTTGTGATCAATTTATCTCCTGGATTTTAGCTCATGTCTATACTTCATCTTTCTCTTTCAGTGTTAAGGGTTCAATGCTGGGATTTGTTCAATCTACTAGGGGTATTAGACAAGGTAACCCTTGGTCACCTTATCTCTTCCTCTTAGTATCTGAAGCACTTTCTAATTTGATTAAACAAGCCTGTCTGACTTCTTCCTATAAGGGTATCAAAATTGGCAAACAAGCTCCTATAATTTCTCACATTTCTTTTGCAGATGGTTTAATCCGATTATATAAAGTTGACACTCAGCATGCTTCTCTGATCTTCAAACTTTTGTCTGACTATGGTTCCGCCTCTGTTCAACTAGTGAACATTGATAAATCTTCAATATTTTTTTTTTTCTAAAAACACTACTTCTGAAAATGCCTCTGACATATGTAAGATTCTTGATGGGATTACTAGAGTGGATTCTACCAAATACCTGAGAATTCCTTTAGGTATTGGATAAAAAAAGAGGTTTTTAAGTTTGTGAGTGAGAGAGCAACTCAAAGACTTCATTGGGCTGGGTTGGATAAAATTGCAAAACCCAAAGAGAGTGAGGGGTTGAGCTTCAGAAACTTGAGAATGTTTAATGAAGCTATGTTAGTCAATGTTACAATCTTGTAATATTAATATAAATCTGACATTGATAAGCTTGAATTTACTGTGAATTCTTAGATAGAGTTTGGAGAGGGTGATAGATACAATAGAGACAGGGAGAAAGAGAGAGATAAAGGGGGAATATTTTAGTTATGACTTCCAATTGCCTTTCTTCATTTCACCCGTGGGTAAATATAGTAACAAACTGGTCCCACTTACATCACATATGCTCAACCTTAACTAAACACATAATAATAAATTTGATAATAATAAAAGCCCAACAAGTGGCCCAAAAACATTAATTAATAACCAGCCCAAAACCTTGGGACTCAACCCTTTTTTCCTTCATCTTCATAACTCGATATCGGCAACATCATTTCTTCATTTTCTTCCAAATGCTTGACTGGTGAAATTCTTTCCACATTTCCGATCTCAGTCGTCTCCTTTGTCAAATCTTTCCTTTCATTTATGTTCAAAACCCCATCTTTCTTCGAGTCCATGACAATACCCGCCGCAATTTTAGATGCTTGACCGCAAGGATCCAAGATCGGAACTTTTTTCAGCAAGTAAGGTTCATCCTCCCAGGTGACGAGATCTGGACTGAGCTCTGTCCAAATCGCCGAAAGTTGAGTAATTTTCTGCCCTTGCCTTGTTATATACCTTTTTCCTGCGATTTCCACCGGAGCAATTTTCACCTCGCCGTCTTCGTCTGTGGCAGGTAGCTGCAAGGAGACCGGATGGTGTGGTTTGACTCGACTCTTCAGAACAGATACATGGAACACCGGATGAATGCGGGAACCTTCTGGAAGATCTAGTCGGTAAGCCACTTCACCAATTTTCTCAAGTATAGTATAGGGCCCATAAAATTTAGCTGCAAGTTTGACACTTTTCCTCAGAGATACTGAGTTTTGCCTGAAAGGTTGTAGCTTTAGGAAAACTTGCTCTCCAACTCGAAACTGTTTGTCATGTCTCTTCCTATCTGCCAAAAGTTTCATCCTCGCTTGTGCATTTTTGAGGTTTTCCTTAAGCTGCTGTGTCATTGCTTGCCTTTGTTGTACGAAATCTTTCGCATCTATGTTGGTAGAATCTAGATAGGGCCCAATAGCAAAGTTAGGGGGTGGGTAGCCATACAAAGCTTGGAAAGGAGTGAGCTTGAGGCTCGAGTGGAAATTGGTGTTATACCAAAACTCAGCCAATGACAGCCACTTAATCCACTGTCTAGGGTTAGAGTGAACCATTCCCCGCAGGTAGTTCTCCAGACATTGGTTTAGCCTCTCAGATTGCCCGTCAGTTTGGGGGTGGTAGGCTGATGAAAAGTTCAGGTTCACACCCATTAATTTGAAAAGTTCCCTCCAAAATTGACTAGTAAAGATCTTGTCCCTGTCTGTCACCATGCTCACAGGTAACCCATGCAGCTTGTATATGGTGTCTAAGAAAAGTTTAGCAATGGTTGGGGCTGTAAATGGATGTGATAGAGGTATGAAATGAGCATACTTGGTGAATCTGTCAATGATCACCAATATGACATCCTTTCCTCCTGATTTGGGTAGGCCTTCAATGAAGTCCATTGTGATGTGGGTCCACGCTTGGTCTGGGATGGGTAATGGTGTAGGAGTCCTGGGTAGGTGTTAGAATCTGATTTGCACATTTTGCAGGTGTCACAGCTTTGCACCAAATCAATCACATCAGTTTTCATTTTAGGCCAGTAGAACACCCCCTTCAATCTCATGTATGTGCCATAGATGCCTGAATGGCCCCCATAAGATGAGTTGTGCATAACTGAGAGGATGTTGCTCCTCAACCCCTTATCACTGCCTACACACAACCTTCCCTTGTATCTGAGCAAACCATCCTGAGCAGTGAAATGTGGGTAGGAATCAGCCTTAATGATTATGGCTGTGAGTATCTTAGTAAAGAAAGGGTCTTGTTTGTAACTCTCTTTAACCTCTTGGACCCAAAGGGGTACAACAGTAGTAAGGGCCAAACACAGTGAACTGTCCTCTCCTCTTCTAGATAATGCATCAGCAGCCTTGTTGTCAGAACCCTTTTTGTACATGATCTCATAATCCAGCCCTAGCAATTTAGTTATCCACTTCTGTTGGACTGGGGAAACAAGCTTCTGGTCTAAAAGGTGCCTTAGTGCCTGCTGGTCAGTCTTGATGAAGAATTTGTGTCCTTGTAGGTAGTATCTCCACCTTTGTACTGCCATGAGAACAGCAAGAAACTCTCTCTCATAGATAGAGAGAGCTTGGTTTTTAGGACATAACATTTTGCTCATGTAGGCTATGGGCTTTCCATTTTGCATTAGGACAGCACCAACCCGTTTACCACTTGCATCAGTCTCTAAAACAAATGGTTGACTGTAATCTGGTAGTGCTAGGACAGGAGCAGTAACCATAGCTCTCTTCAACCTTTCAAAAGCTAAATCAGCTTCTGGTCCCCATTTGAAATTATCCTTTTTCAGCAGGTTGGTGAGTTCCCTGCTAATCATGCCATAACCTTGAATGAATTTCCTGTAGTAGCCTGTAAGGCCTAGGAAGCCCCTTAATTGCTTGGCATTAGTTGGTGTAGGCCACTTCACCATTCCTTCAATCTTTTGTGGATCAGTAGAGACCCCCTGTTGAGAAATAATATGCCCCAAATACTCTATCTTCTCCTGCCCAAATTGGCACTTACTCTTCTTTGCATAGAGTTGGTTCTGCCTTAGGAGTATCAACACTTGTTCAATGTGTAATAAATGATCCTTCCACTCCTTGCTGTATATAAGAATGTCATCAAAGAAAACCAAAACTGTCTTCCTCAGATGATCTCTGAATATTTTGTTCATCAAAGATTGAAATGTGGCTGGGGCATTACATAGTCCAAATGGCATCACTAGGAACTCATAGTGGCCATTATGTGTCCTAAAGGCTGTTAGGTACCTATGCTGTTTGTCCATGAGTATCTGAAAATACCCAGACCTTAGGTCAATTTTTGAGAAGTATTTGGCACCTTGTAGTTCATCCAAGAGTTCATCAATGACGGGAATAGGATAATCATGCTTCACTGTCAGACCATTTAGGTACCTATAGTCAACACATAGCCTCCAAGTAGCATCCTTCTTCTTTACCAAGATTACTGGTGAAGCAAAAGGGCTCTTGCTATCTTGGATAATTCCAGAATCCAGCATCTCCTGGACAATCTTCTCAATTTCACCCTTCTGGCTGTGTGAAGTTCTGTAGGGAAACTGGTGTTTTGGTATGCTGTCTGGTTTGAGGATAATTTGATGCTCAACTTCCCTGGCAGGTGGTAACCCTTTGGGTTCTTGAAAGATGTCACCATATTTTCCCAGTAGACATTCTAACTCAGGTGCAATTTGGGTTTGTTCTGGTTTGTGAACAGCCAGCCAAAATACCTCTTCAATACTCTCTTCTTCATGTATCATTTTGAATAAGGAAGGTCCAGAAATGAACCTGCAATTTGTTTCTGACTTCATAGCTTGCACTTTCACTCTCTTTCCCTTCAAAGTGACTGTAAAACTCATCCGCTCATAATCCAGCTCAATAGGAGTGCAGCTTTTTAGCCAATCACCCCCCAAAATCATATCACAACCCTCATTATCAAGTACCCTTAGGGTGTAGGAGAAAAGGTGGCCCTGCATTTGCCATTCAAAATTTTCAGCCACTAGTGAGCTGATCATTCTTTGCCCATTTGCCACCTTAACCATCAACGGTTTAGCAGGTTTTAATGGTAAGCCCAAAGACTTGGCTGTGCTAGCTTGAATAAAGCTAAGTGTGCTCCCAGAGTCTATGAGGATATGCAATTTCTGTGCTCCTGAACTCCCATAGACTCTCATTGTAGTGAGGCCATCTTCCCCCGCAATTGCATTTAATGACATTTGAACCTCCTCCAATGATTCTGTGGGTGGCAATTCTTCTTCTGTAGCTTGGCAAGAACTGAGAAAATTAATTTCTTCTTCCTCAGTCATAGTCATATAGTTAAGCCTGTGTTTACACCTGTGGCCATAGGTAAACTGCTCATCACAATTGTAGCACAACCCCTTCTCTCTCCTTGCTGCCATTTCTGAAGCAGTGAGAAGTTTCACAGGGCTCCTGGGTGAATTGGTGGATTTGAGTGGCAGTGGGTTGTAGGTGTCAGGCTTTCTGGGAAGTGGGTAGGTATTGGGTGAGGATCTAACTGGTGTTTTTAGTTTTTTGGTAATGGCTTCAAGGGTGATTAGTTGTTTCTTTCCCAATTCAATGGTCTGCTGCAAGGTTTGTGGCTCAAACATATTGATGAAAGATTGTAGTTCCTCAGACAAACCACTGATGAAACTTGCAATGAAATATTCCTCAGTATAACCATGATTCATGCATATCATGCAAGCTTTGAGCTCCTCAAACTTCTCTACATATTCCAAATATGATCCACTGTGTCTGAGCTTATTGAATTCCCCAATAATCTTTGATTCCTTAAGCTCCTCAAACCTGGCAGAGATAATTTCTATGAACTGGGGCCATGAAATATCATCACACTTGGTGTGGAAACTCTGAAACCATTGGGCTGCTTTCCCTTTCAAGTGCATGAAAGCCAGTGTAACTTTCTGTTGGTCTGGGATATTTGGTACTATTTTAAAGTAGCTGTTGCATTTGAGTATCCAAGCTCTTGGCCCATTACCATCAAAACGTGGGAACTCAATTTTTGGCAAGGGGCTGATGATATGTGTATTAGTTTGTTGTTGCTCATACTGTATCTTGGGGTTAGAATTGGGTGTTTGCCTGCTAGAACTGTCATGTTTGGTACCAGAATAGGGCCCAAATATAGATTCACTTTGCTGCCCCTTGTTGTTCATGTTTAACAATTGTAACTGAATTGAGGCCAAGGTGTTTGCGAGATTGTCATACTTACCACTCATATTTTGCATTTGCCCCTGCATTTCTGTGGATAAACCCTTCATTTCAGTGCCCAGATTTGGGATATGTTCCTGGAGTTTTAATTCAGTGGCTTCTCTCTTCAGAGCTTCTGTTTGGAGTGTCTGATCGATTTTCTTTTGTGCTTCTTGCAGGTCTTTAAACTGTGTGACTTCTGCCATTTTTCCCAGATCGGAATGCTCTGGATACCAAATGTTACAATCTTGTAATATTAATATAAATCTGACATTGATAAGCTTGAATTTACTGTGAATTCTTAGATAGAGTTTGGAGAGGGTGATAGATACAATAGAGACAGGGAGAAAGAGAGAGATAAAGGGGGAATATTTTAGTTATGACTTCCAATTGCCTTTCTTCATTTCACCCGTGGGTAAATATAGTAACAAACTGGTCCCACTTACATCACATATGCTCAACCTTAACTAAACACATAATAATAAATTTGATAATAATAAAAGCCCAACAAGTGGCCCAAAAACATTAATTAATAACCAGCCCAAAACCTTGGGACTCAACCCTTTTTTCCTTCATCTTCATAACTCGATATCGGCAACATCATTTCTTCATTTTCTTCCAAATGCTTGACTGGTGAAATTCTTTCCACATTTTCGATCTCAGCCGTCTCCTTTGTCAAATCTTTCCTTTCATTTATGTTCAAAACCCCATCTTTCTTCGAGTCCATGACAGTCAAACAGTTATGGAGGGTGTTAGCTCACCCTAATCTACTAGTCTCTAAACTCCTAAGAGGCAAGTACTTTTGGAAAAAGAAACTAGTGGATGTCAAACCCAAGACCTTAGATTCCTAGCTTCGGAAAAGTTGGCTAGAGGCTAGAAAAACTCTCAAGTTAGGTGTCAGGTGGGTAATGGGAATGCTATTCATGTTTGGGACTCTCCATGGGTCCCTTCAATTAAAAACTTTACCCCCTTCCCTAAGTTCTTGGGTGACAAATAGAGATATTCTAGAGTTGGTGAGTTAATTTTGCAGGATGAGAACAGTTGGGATATGGACTTGATGCTTCAAACCTTTGATCTTTTTGTGGCAGAGGCAATCCTGGAGATCCCTCTTAGTCAATGAAGGACTAGAGACAAACTCATATGACATTGGAACAAGAAAGGCCAATTTTCTGTTAAAAGTGTTTATGTGTTGCTGATGATTCAGAATGAGAAGGCCAAAGGAACTGGAGACACAAGTCAAGAGTGCAAAGGGAAGAAGAGAATGTGGCAGGAGACTTGGAGATTAAAGGTGAAAAGCAGGATAAAAATTTTTATATGGAGACTATGGCATGGTTATCTGAGTATAAGAGTCATTTGGCAAGGAAAGGGCTTAAAAAGGATGACATGTGTGAGATTTATGGTAAAGGTTTAAAAGATATTCAACACCTGTTTTTCAAATGTCAAAGAGCCACTCTGTGCTAGAAGCTGATGGGAATCAATTGGAGTGGCACAGATCAAAACCAGTACAACTTCAGAGACTGGTGGCACTCTATTAGTACTGCAGGGACACAAAAATTACATGAATGAGAGAACTAGTCTTTCAGCCTATCTGCTATGGTGGCTCTGGAGAACCAGAAACTTGTGGGTGTTTAAAAAATAATGGGTCAAGGAGGAGGACATTGTAAGAAGAGCAAGAGGTGAATGGTGGGAATATTTAACTGGTTTGGAGGGTAATTGCTCATTGCAGGAAGGTGTTGGTTTCTCTAAATCTTCACTTGAGGAAGAGGCTGAGTTTAGGGTAGCACAGGTCCTTACTGTTTGTGCCCACACGTCCACAAGTGGCTGGGCTGGAATGGCAGGAACACTATGGAAGGATGGCAAGTTACTTGGGCTACAACCAAGGAGCTTTCAGGTCCTCAGGAAGAAATTTGGCTCAGAACAATCAGATGGGTACTAGAAGAGGGAAAGAGGAGAAATATTGACAAAATTTGCTGCTGCTTTAATAATAACAATTTAGTGCAGAAACTGAGGAAACAATCCTCATTCCCCTGTGATTTCATTGTTGTATCTGATGATGTTCATGGACTTGCTCATTCCTTCCTTAGTTGTTCTTTCCATTTTACATATGTTAATTGCAGTTCTAGTTCTGGGTTAGCTAAATTGGCTTGTGAGGAGCAGTCTGTTTATGACCCCGTGTAGCATCTTGTTAGCCGGTGTGGTTAAGGGATGTTTAAACTTATGATTGGTCATTCGGTTGTACTTTGTTATGCATTTAATGTATTGCTTGTTTGATTTTGGAAAAAAAAAAATAGATATTATTTGAAGAATTAGTTAAAGCATTATAAGTTTCATATTATCCACCATGAGGGTTCCGAAATATTTTAACTATTTCGATTTATGTCGGTAGTTAGTAAAGACGAAGAAGGCAAGGCATTGTCATTTGATTGACATATTGATTGACATCATTTTGATACTTCTCGTTTCTACTGCAACAACCGAACGATCATTCTCAGAAAATAATGCTTCTCAAAATTCCACTTTGATATACGATGGGACTCTATTGTCTAGATTGAAAGGGAGTTTGTTATGACGATCGACACAAATTCATTAATTGGTGAGTTTAATAGCATTAAGAATCGAAGGGCACATCTTAATTAAATAAGTGACATTTTCACCTTTTTTGTATAATTGTAATAAACATGAAGCACTTTATGCGCATTTCTTAATTAAAAATTATTTTATGTTCTTTGTAAGAAACTGTGAAAAAACGGGTGCGGTCCCACTCACATGAAGCGCACCATAAGCGGGGAAAGCCCATATGAAGCCCAAATGGGGTTCCATCCCAAAACAAATTGGTGGAAGGAGGAGTAGCCCATTTGACCGCGCGTCGCAACGCGGCAAAATTAAAATTTATATTTTCCTTAACCGACTTCTACCAACTAGCAGTAGTAGTGAGCAAGGGTCGATCCCACGAGGAGTGTGAATCAAATCGTGAATTTTCTGGTATTAATTGAAATTATGAAAAGCAATAAATGGTGGGGGGTTTTGGGATTTTTAAGTACTAATTGAATTATTTTATTTATTTTTTTTAGGATTTTTTTTTATCATCTTTTACTCCCCTTTTCCTTCTTTATTATTATTATTTTTATTTGTTGGCAGAATACTGGGTGCCTCCATACTCTGCTGGACAGAATAGTTCGCCCCCATACTCGCGGGATTGACTAATTTTTGGGCGATTTTTGCGAGCTTTGAGCAACTTGTCGAGAATGGCAGCCTATTATCACGATTTTTATACCCACCAGGCACCTTACCAGTATGAGAGGGAGATACGAGGCCTGTGGATTGGAGATCGAGACGTAAGAGGACCTAGTGGTTGGCGAAGATACGAGCAAGACTACATGTATCCCGAGGAGAACGAGTACGGCTTGAGAGAGCACTCGAACTCTTTTCATGGGTACTCCGAGCCACCACTTGCGCGAGATCCCAGCCCATCGTTAGAGGATATGGTGAAGGCAGTAGAGGCTCACACGTTGAGATTTATACGAGAGTACTGCGAGCCATTAGTTGAGAGAGATCCTGGTCCGTCGCTTGAGGATATGATGAAGGAGTTGACGACTAACACTCTTAGCTTTCAGCAAGGTGTTGAGACAAGCCTCAAGAGTCAAGAACTAAGCATAAAGAATTTAGAAGGCCAAATGAGCCAATTGGCGGAACAAATGGACCGACTAGTGTATCGAATCAAAACGAGTCCAATGAGTTTGAGCATCACCCATTCGTACAGCGAGGACCTCGAGGAACTTGAAGAGTGCACACACGAGCCGGAGAACGAGAAAATAACGAATATCGAGAAGAATGAGAGCGAAAAAGAGAACTAAGCTGCAGAATATGGGTCTGAGCAGCAGAATACGAGGGTGCCCCATACTCGACCTGCTGTAGCCAAAAAGCGTACTGTTCTTCCCGCTTCTGTGCCGATAGAAGCTGAACCGTGTCCTATGTATTCTAATATGAAGTGGGTACTGAGCAAGGATGCACTGAAGCATGTCTTGAGCCTTAATATCCAGCCTCTTGAGACGATCGAGCAAAACGCAAGGTGTAAGTGGGAGTTTAATGAGGCGGTGACCGTGATCGAGTGCCAGCTGCTACACATTCATGGGGAATTAGCATCATGGAGGAAAGATCCGGTGAAACACCCAAC